TGCATCTCGCATGAAACAGCCTGTCCCCTCTGAGTGTTGACTTCTATGTTCACTTTCATATAAATATATACATATATATACTGAGTGATTGAAAAGTAACTCCTTATTTATTGTATGAGTGGCCAGCCAGGAGACCTGACTTAACAACATGTGACGTTTTTCTTTGGTGTTGATTAAGGGGACAAATCTATTATACGAAATGAAGTCCTTGGAAGAACTTGAAAGGCGAATGCAAGAAGTTATGTCCTCCATACAACAAGAGATTTATCTATCCCAGTCACTTTATTTCTAGCGATCTATATCAGTCTCCTCATATCTATCTCAGTTTGTTTCTCTCTCTCCCCCTCTTCTCCCTCTCTCTCTCTCTCTCTCTCTCTCTCTCTCTCTCTCTCTATATATATATATATATATATATATATATATATATATATATATATATATATATATATATATATATATATATATATATATATATATATATATATATATATATAAAGGAGGATTTAATAATTATATTTAATTAATTCATCGAGTCTGATAGAAACCTCAACAGAATACAGAAAGCACTGGACGGCCGTTTTGTCCGCGAGGCCCTTGGAACAGTTGGTATGATGTTTGCTTGATAACCTAACTGTCAGGGTTTCAATTCTCAGTAGTGGATACACACTGCTGATCAGTCCCAAATATAGGACGAAACGGCCGTCCAGTGCTTTCTGCATTCTGTTGAGGTTTCTATCAGACTCGATGAATTAATTAAATATAATTATCAAATCCTCCTAATAATTACTGTGTATATCATTGCTTGAACCGGCTTCTAGTGCTCTAGAGTGAGCGGCTTGGTGAGAGTAGTCGTGGCTCCAGGGGACACAGTCCTATGGTTACAGAAAACTGAGTAGAATTCCACCACGGAATATGTGAGCGAGCGGCGCTATATTGAGTCTGATTTGAAATCTCTTCGTCGGCGAGGTCCATTAGAACAGTTGTTATGACGTCTGTTTGATAACCTAACTGTTCGGGTTTCAATTCTCGGCCGTCCAGTGCATTCTGTTGAGGTTTCTTTCAGACTTGATGAATTATATATATATATATATATAACTTAGTTCTTAGAACCGAACAGAGCAGGACGACTCTAACATAATGATTGGCTGAAAGCCTTGTGCAGAAACAATCGCACTTTTGAACGAACCGAAGGTAATGAACAGGTCCTGCTATTTAACCCATATATGGTGAGCGAAGAGATGTATCCATATATTTGCAAAGTTTTTACAGTTGAATTGGCTAGATGCAGCCGTAAGTTCTATGCCAATAGTTTCTTTTTCTCGCACTACATGCTTGTGGAACTTTCTTCCACCTCCACGCTTCTCAGTCAACTTCGATCTTCAAAAATTTAAATTCAATGTCAATCGTTATCTTCTGTCTTAATTACTTTTCTTTTATTGCTCTCGCTTTTTAATAATTTTCTTCTTTGCCTTATTCTTTCATACTCAGGATTGAAATTATTTAAAAAAAAAAAAGAAGATAATGTAACGCTACTGGAATACGAACTCAGTTCTCCTATTTCGCATGCTAAGACGCTAGCAATTAAACCACCCACACATCACACATAATAAATAATTTAACGACAGATTTACTTTTATATATGTGGATAAATACACAACTTCACCTTACTGGGATAGCTGAACATTTGGGTGAGATTGTGTTGCGCCAATTTTTCAAGTCGTGAGGCTTTGTGTACCAATCTTCAGAATCATGATTTTATATCTTTCAGTGTTTGAGCCACGTCCTCCAATGCCAATAAGACAGCTTCAACTACCTTAGCCACCAAATTTTCTTCATTCCGAGTAGTAATTAAATCTACAAGACAAAAAAGCCTCCAAGTGAAGCTTTCTTAAACCTTGAAAAATTCTTCCGGCCTTTCGAATAAAACAAATTATCTCCCCTTTATTTCGCAAACAAGGAACTTAATTAGTCCTAATTGGATTTAAACATTTAAGCACTAATTTCAAGCGAAAAGAAAAAAATGATTCCCTTAAACTCATTACAATTAGTCATGAACAATTTTGAAATTGTGAATTTTCCGTTTTCGACTGACAAATTTTTCGAATAAAAAGGAACCGACAATAGAAAAATCACTATTTACATTACATGAGTACAATAATCCGAATAATGTAAATAGTGTACATAATACCTCATCTCAGAAATATAGACAGATACTGAAAGGCCGAAACGTTGTAATAAATATGGCGACAAAGAAGAGGACAATAGTCCGAATAATGTAAATAATAATGTACATAATATCTCATCTGAGAAATATAGACAGATAATGAAAGGCCGAAACGTTGTAATAAATATGGCGACAAAGATGAGGACAATAGTCCGAATAATGCAAATAGTGTACATAATATCTCATCTGAGAAATATAGACAGATACTGAAAGGCCGAAACGTTGTAATAAATATGGCAACAAAGATAAGGACAATAGTCCGAATAATGTAAATAATGTACATAATATCTGATCTCAGAAATATAGACAGATACTGAATAGAAAAATCCTTTGACACGCAAATAAAAGAGAACATTATAGTTCGAAGTAATACATATTTAAATCAAAATATCTTAGCAATATTTTTTTTAATCATTTCACCCCAAGGAAGGTGAGAGTTCCACTGCTACGCAGGGAGCTACAGAGAGTGAAAGTGAGAGAAAAGACTGAGTATGGGGGGGGGGTTGAAGAAAAGAATAAAAGATGAGCGGGGTTAAAGTCATCAGAAGATGGCTATTGACGTTGCATTTCAATTTTTGAAGACTGTAGTTATCAGGGAAGCAACTAAGAGGAAGGGAGTTCCTCTGTCGGGAAGCGCGAGAAAAGAAACTGCTAGAGTAGAAGTGGAGGTTATATTTAACTAATTGAACAGTAAAAGAGTGAGACTTGGATGCCAATCTAGTAGTACGCTTAAATTCATGTAGTCTGGGATACTTACAGTAAATTCTAGCCATGAAGCTTGGTCTTGAATCTCAACATCGTCGATTACTCAGGATGGTTTTGTTGGTTGATTTTGTTTAGTGGTATATAATCATCGCTATGAGTTACTGAATGCCACAATCTAAATGTTTTGAACGCAGTTATATGGCTTCAACTACAGGTAAAATGAATAGTTAGTCATTCTACTATAAAATGTATTGTTGGTAATTTTTTTATTCAAGAATGTCTTTTTTTTTACTTGCATAGTGATCTTTTTGGAGGTTCACTATTTATCCATAGCGGGGGTCCTAACAGGTGCTACTACAACGGGTTAGGGTGGACCTGGGAACAACAGCATTTAAGAAGTGGTTCAGCTCCTCAAAGTGTCCAATTTCACGAAGGAGACCTTGATGCTCCAGGACTATGGCGGCGATCTCACCTTTGGAAAATTTCTGATGATTTGATTCCTGGCTTTTAAGTGAATTTAGGTAGACGGACCGGTCGTCATTCGTTGCGTTAACACGATATAACAAGTCATCATGACCGAAGGTTTTAATGCACTGGTGTTCTTCAAACTGCTGATTAAGCCGAGTTATGCGTTCTCTCCCAGAAACTGTAACTAAGGTCCGCTCAGCAGAGCTGCAATATAAACCATAGGTGGTCTTTTGGGGAGTTGAACAAACACAAATTTGCGTGAGCAGTTGTCTGCGTCATGGATTAATGTGTCATCGTAGCAGAAGTAGCAGATACATATATATATATATATATATATATATATATATTCACGAAAACACTAATAAGTAATCTACCTTGCTACTCGGGTTTCAACCGCAACCTCAGGCAAGTAGAATGATAAACGATCTAGTATATACCACCAACTTATATGACCACAGGAAAAGAAAATGAAAGTTGTGACGGGGACGGTAAAGGAAAAAGAGGCGGAGGAGGAAAAAGCGGAGATGAGGAGGGAAAATTATTCACTTCACTCATCCAGACTCATACATATTCAAAAGATATTTACTTAAATGCCTGCACATTGACAAAATCTCAGTTCTCTTATTCAGCAGCACATCTTTGTTAGGATATTTAACAATAGCCAACTTCTCCTGACACAGTCGGCAGCAGTTGCCACGGACTGTGCCTGGCTTCACCTTTCTTATTATACTCCACTTTATACATGGATTTTTTCCATGTATCTCTCTCAACCCCCAAATACATTCTGCAAGTTTGGTGTCACTTTTGTAGCTTTCCAGTTTAAAGCAGGTAGCATGGTCATAAAACCTCTTTTTAAAAGGACCTTCGGTACAAACAATGTATATCCTCTGTCGATGACTTCTGCAGAATACACGATTCCCTCTGCACGGCACTAACCGCGTAATGGGCAGTTATTTTTATTCCTGCAGTTGCATGGCTTTGCTTTTCCCTTCCACTTCTTTCCACCTCTAAAATTTTCAAATTAGGGTGCTGTGCTATATTCAACATGTTATCAGCGCAACTGTAACCCAGCTTCATGGCGTTTCTGTTGAACACCTTAGCCAATAGAGAGTTCTTTGGAAAATGTTTATCCAAAGCTTAAAAAAAAGTTACAAGTTTTTTCCCGCTTCCCCCAAAACCCTGATAATGACGAGAGTAGTTCAGTCATGCTTAAATAAAAATATCAACTTCGGAAATCATTTGTATTATTATTATTTTTTTTTTTTGTTTTTGTTATAGCAACGTTTCGGGCGTCTGGGTTTCTTCATTTGGTCCTCGATCCAATTTCCTTTCTTCAAGATTGGCTGCAATCCAAAGATACAGAGTTCAATCTACGCTGCTATTTAACCTACAGCTGACTAATGGGGAACAGAGTAGAATTGGTCGCAATTTTTCCGTTCCATGCTCAGTAAATTGATAGATAATGAATGGAGTAACTAAGCAGATGTGAAGATAGATAGATAGATAGATAGATAGATAGATAGATAGATAGATAGATAGATATAAAAAGACTTAGATAGATATGAAGCGACTTAGATAGATGGATAGATAGATACAAAAAGACTTAGATAGATAGATAGATAGATAGATAGATAGATAGATAGATAGATAGATAGATATGAAGAGACTTAAATAGATAGATAGATAGATAGATAGATAGATAGATATAAAAAGACTTAGATATGAAGAGACTTAGATAGATAGATGGATAGATAGATATAAAAAGAATTAGATAGATAGATAGATAGATAGATAGATATGAAGATAGATAGATAGATAGATAGATATAAAAAGTCTTAGATATGAAGAGACTTAGATAGATAGATAGATAGATAGATAGATAGATAGATATGAAGAGACATAGATAGATATATAGATAGATAGATAGATAGATAGATAGATAGATAGATAGATATAAAAAGACTTAGATATGAAGAGACTTAGATAGATAGATAGATAGATAGAAAGATAGATAGATAGATATAAAGAGACTTAGATAGATAGATAGATAGATAGATAGATAGATAGATATAAAAAACTTAGATAGTTAGATATGAAGAGACTTAGATAGATGGAGAGAGAGATAAATAGATAAATAGATAGATAGATATAAAAAGACTTAGATAGATAGATAGATAGATAGATAGATAGATAGATAATCAACAAAATGTGATAGATAGATAGATAGATAGATAGATAGATAGATAGATAGATAGATAGAATAATTAAGGTACGAATGTAAGTAGATGGGCAAAAGTGGAAAAGGTTTCCGCGAGAGTTTTCGTTCTTTAGGGCATCATCGGACATTTTGTTTACATTGATTCGACTGCACATGCGTACGATCGAAAGAGAGACGCTGAGAATTTCAAATTTCAAATACTTTCTTTGATTAATTAAAAACAGATAAGAAATTTCGTATTAAAAATATATATATGAACAGACTAAAATAGATCAAAAGATAGATATGTAAGCGAACCGTTTCCTTCATAGACGAAGGATCAAAATAGATGAACAGATACCTCGTCCTTTGCAGATTCAGATCGATAGATTTATTCAGATAAATCGATGCATACGTGCACAATGTTATAGATAGACGTACAGATTGTTAGACACTTGCTTTCATTTTAAGCCAATCTGGTTAAAAGCCCGCTCAAGTTAAAAGGATATCCTTGGAAACGACAGATACATAGATGGACGGATGGCTGCGTGTATGACAGACAAGTCTTTGTGCTAACCAATTACTAGGTAACCCGAGATGCTGAAGCAGTAAGATCTGATCAATGACATCATACGTTTCAAAAGTGATGACATCTTTACCTTTCCTTACTGAAACCGTAACATTTGCTCGAAATTGGCATAAGTGATGGATGGTATCCAGTAACAAAAACAGGATGGATTACAATATATCAGGTCATCCCATAAGTTCTGTCAGAATTTTAACTTTTTGTTAAAATGAACGAAATTTAAAGAGTATTTTATAATGTCTAATAGAGCTGAACATTATGTTTAGATGCATTTAAACTGATCAAATTTTATTTCAGAGAACAATAAAATTAAAGTTTGTTTGGTTAAAACCCTGCTAACATGGAAGTACCCAAGAATCATTTGAGGCACACAATGCTTTATGAGTTCAAGAAAGGAAACTCAGCAGCCAAAGCGGCTAGAAACATTCACTCAGTTTATGGAGAGGAATGTGTGAATGAAAGAACTTGCAGAAGATGGTTTGCAAAATTCAGAGGTGGAGATTTCACACTTGAAGATGAAGATCGAACCGGACGTCCAGTTGAGTCTGACGAAAAGCTTCTTGTAGCAGCCCTTGAAGAAAATCCTGCTTTATCAGTTGAGGAATTGGCAGTGGTTCTCTGTTCAAACCATACAACTGTTCATCGTCATCTTCAACAACTTGGAAAAATTCCTAAAATTGGAAAATGGGTGCCTCATGAATTGTCTGAAAACAACCTGATATCTCGAGTTGACACCTACTCTTCTCTCCATTCTCGCCAACTTGTTTCACCTTTTTTGGATAGACTTGTGACAGGCGACGAAAAATGGATCTTTTATCGAAATGTTAAGCGTCGTAGACAGTATCTTGGTAAAGGGGAATGACCCCAGCCACAGCCGAGAAGGGAACTTCATGGGCAAAAGATTCTTCTTTCAATCTGGTGGGATCGCCAAGGAATAATCTACTTTGAATTCTTAACACCTAATGCAACAATTAATGCTCAAATATACTGTCAGCAATTAGAGTGTTTGAATCAAGCTTTGAGGAAAAAAGACCTGCTCTAGTGAATCGAAAAGAGGTGATGTTTCATCAGGACAATGCGCAACCCCACACAGCAAGAATCACGTCACAAAAGATCGAAGAACTTCGTTGGGAGAAAATTCCTCATCCACCATATTCTCCCGATCTTGCTCCTTCAGACTACCATTTGTTTCGTAGCTTACAGAATCATTTGGAAGAAAGAGCTTTTGTAACACAGGAAGAGGTTAAAACTGGCATTTGTGAGTTCTTCGAATCAAAGCCAAAAGAATTTTACAGTAATGGAATTAGTAAGCTTGTTAATAGATGGAAGGAAGTCATAGATAATCAGGGAAAATACATTGTTGATTAAATCTGTAATTAAATGTAACATTTCGTCACTTGTTTTCTTTATTCAAAATTCGGACAGAACTTATGGGATGACCTGATAGTAAGCTTGTTAATAGATGGAAGGAAGTCATAGATAATCAGGGAAAATACATTGTTGATTAAATCTGTAATTAAATGTAACATTTCGTCACTTGTTTTCTTTATTCAAAATTCGGACAGAACTTATGGGATGACCTGATAGTAAGCTTGTTAATAGATGAAAGGAAGTCATAGATAATCAGGGAAAATACATTGTTGATTAAATCTGTAATTAAATGTAACATTTCGTCACTTGTTTTCTTTATTCAAAATTCGGACAGAACTTATGGGATGACCTGATAGTAAGCTTGTTAATAGATGGAAGGAAGTCATAGATAATCAGGGAAAATACATTGTTGATTGAATCCAATAACAAAAAAACAGGACGAGTTACAATATAAATAATATAATTTCTGGATGTTTTTCAATTAGCATCCCTAACCCCAGTGACCTTACATTCAGACCAATAGTAGCAGGACCAGCCTGTCCCACTAGCAAACTCAGTAACCTAATAGTCATACTATTGCAACCATATACTAAACAAATTAAAAGCCACATCATAGACGATATCCATTTCCTTAGCTGCATACCACAAAAGGTAGATCTGGGAACGCTTATGGCAACTTTTGACATCAGTAGCCTATACAGTAACATACCCCATGAACTAGGAAAAAAGCGATCTCATTCTGGATTGAAAAACATCCAGAAATACTACATCCGCGATTCACTATAGAGTTCATTATCGATAGTATAGACCTAATTCTAAACAATACCACCTTTGAATTTGACAACAAAAACTATATCCAAACCCTAGTTACTGCAATGGGAACAACAATGGCACCAATATATGCCACCCTAACATTAGCTTAACTTGAAGAAAACCTCTATGAACGGATAGAACAAATATATGGGGTAAATATAAAAACCCAATTCACTAAATGTTGGAAAAGTTACTTAGATGATTGCTTCATTTTTCTGGAAATCTATAAAATATATATAAAATATATACAAATAATTTTAAATATAATATGAAATTTAAAATATAATTTAAATATATGATATTTGATATATATGATAAATATATGATATTAAATATAATTTGAATGTAATTTAAATATAATATAAAAAAAATAATATACAAAAATAATATAATACAAAATGATCTAATACAAATAAGAATATATCTAAAATATATCTAAAATATATAAAAAATAATTTAAAATATAATATAAAATTTAAATATATGATATTTGATATATAGTATAAATATATGATATTAAATATCATTTAAATATAATTTAAATATAATATAAAAATAATATACAAAAATATAATACACAATGATATAATACAAATAAAATATATATAAAATATATAAAATATATATAAAATATATACAAATAATTTTAAATATAATATAAAATTTAAATATAATTCAAATATATGATATTTGATATATATGATAAATAAATGATATTAAATGTAATTTAAATATAATATAAAAATAATATACAAAAATAATATAATACATAACTGATATAATACAAATAAAAATATATATAAAATATTTAAAAATATATAAAAATAATAAATAGATAACTGAAATCTTTTATAAGATCAGCGTTCCGTTTAAATATGATCACGTCGTCGTCACGTGGGCGATGTTGTGAAAACGTATTCCTAAAATTTGAGTATTTTGAATGAAAAACGAAAAGAATTTCATTTGATCTAAAACTTATTGTGACGTCGTCCCCTGGTCGCAGCGCCAACTGTGACGTTCTATCCTGGTCTACCACGGCACCAGTTGTGACGTCCCTAAACAGCACCAATTGTGACGTCCTCGCCGCGGCGCCAGCTGTTCTCTCCTCGCTGCTCCGTTCGGGTGTCGCTGCTCCAAACGTGACGTCCGCCTGTCGCGTCAGTCGTGTTGTATCGTCCTGTGACGACCAACTGACTTGGTATCGGTCGCGGCACCCAAATGTGACGTTCTAACCTTTTGGTGATTCGGGTGGGAATCTGGTTAGATTTGATATCAGCCTCGTCGTTCCCAACTCGCTTCCAACGCCTGGTTACTAAGGTAACTACATAAATCTCCAGTCTGCCTACCCACGTTGTGAATTGATCTCTAGGCAGACGAGATCAAACAGTGGTTGGGGCCGTAATGCAAATCGAGTTCAACGGGGGTGACACCACACAAATATGCATAAAAGAAAATAAAATGAAAACTCAAAAGTTCAAAGTATCAAAGAAAAAGGTAACAAACTTTATGTCTAGTTGTTCGATACATAGGACTGCATCTATTTCCCGACCCGTTCTATGGATTGTGACACGTCGTTTTCCGTTAGGCGAGTTTTAACGCTTCAAGTTGTTTGCTCTCTAAGAAATTGGTTTTCGGTGTGTCTTCGGACGAAAGTCGAAAAAAACTTATTTTGGTGGTCTGGATCTAAGTCGCTCTTCAAAATAATTGTTCTTGGGTTGAAGAGGAGTCCGGAATTTGCGTGAATCTTGGTCAGCTATCTGCGAGGCGGCTTCAACTGGAGACTGACTCTTCACTGCAACTCCAGCTCGAACTGAGACTCAAACTCAAACTGATTTCTGCTCGTTGTGGCTTCGCTTATATGGACGCCGACCAAAACCGCAGTGGGTCTGTCGGCGTCGGGGGTTCCTCGATAATTCTAATTACATATCCACCTCTCTGGTTAGGAATTTCCACTTTTTTCCATTTTTGGGAGCCTTTCCTTACTCCCACCTTCTCACCATACTTCAGAGGGGCGTGAACTGCCCTCCCCACTTCTTCGTAGCAGCTTCTCATACCTATACTCTGGATGGGCGGCGACAGCCTCCTTCGTGCGTCACGTGATCACCACTCGACCAATGATGTCTTAGTCGGGCGTGGACGAATCCGCGGCTTTGTTTCAGGAAAAAAAATATCTTGCTTAACTAAAAAAAATTATCCTCTTTTTTTTTTCTTTACTTCCTCCTAATCGCAGTTATCATTTTCCCTAGTCGCAACGCGGTGGTCATAACTCTTGTTCTACACCTGGTCTTCGTCAATTATTTTATCGCTAATTATCAGAATGGGTGGTCTTCTTAACACGGCCAAACGTCGCCCCAAAAAGAAACATTTCTAAGTTCTCAT